CCTGAAGCTGATGTTGTATAATATTGTATGTCAACTATAAGTGAACATATATATATATATATATATATATATATATATATATATATATTCACATATATATATTCACTTATATGTATATATATATATAGTCATGGGATGTGGAGTATAGTGTGGGAGTAGAGACAAGGGAATTGTAATAGATATGTATGATATTGGGGGGGTTGTCACTTTGTGGGGTAAAAAGTATAACTATTGCACTGTGTTGTACAGCTGAAACTAATTTTAAAAAATGTGTATTTCACAATAAAAAATAAAAAATAAAAAAAAAATAAAATAAAACTTTTGTGTAGACGAGTCTTGATTCAGTTAAATTTAACAAGCCTTAATAGCAACTTCTATTCACAAGTCACTGTTAGGTGCCATGGGGATACAGAGAGGGACGATGTCCCATGCTCACCCTGTAGAGATAGATATGTGGGGAAATTATGAATGTGACATAACAAGTATACATAATAGTGTTAAGGAGTGCTCTGGCTTGAATGTTTGTGTTCCATCCCAAATTCACATGTTAAAGCCCTAACTCCCAATGTTATGGCATTTGAAGATGAGACCTTTGGGAATTAGATGAGGTCATGAGGTTGGGGTCCTGGTCTGACGGCATTAGTGTCCTTATAAGAAGAGAGACAGAGAGCTTGCTCCTCCCCCCCCCCGCCTCCCCGTACCCCGTCCATGTGTGTGCACAAAAAAGTGGTCACGTGATCCCACAGTGAGAAGGTGGCCACCTACAAATCAGGAAGAGAGCTCTTACCAGAACATGACCTTGAAGGCACCTTAATCTTGAACTTCCAGAACTGCGAGAAAATAAATGTCTGTTATTTAAACCACCCAGTGTATGGTATTTTATTGTGGCAGCCCGAGTTGACTAAGACAGAGAGACATAGATGAGAAAGATTAATTGTAAAGGGTCATATCAGAGAGGGCTTCCTGGAGGAAGTGGAATTGTAGCTGCAGGATGAGTCAGGTTTTAGAGAGGAAGTTGTGGGAAGGGCATTGTGGGCTAAAGAAGCAGCCGAGGGGAGAGGGTGGCATTTCATCAGATCATGCAATGGAGCGATGAGGGAGAGATGAAACCAGGAGAGACAGTGGTCCCTGATTCCAGGGACCTTGAAGACAACTCTGAGGAGTACAAGTTTCTCTTTAATAAGAGGGTGGAGGCGTCATTGTTTTTGAGCAGGTGAACAGCATAATGGGGAAGGAGCCAGTGGCTGCAGCAGAGACGAGTGACTGGAATGAGGGCAGGTAACAGGGAGAGGTAGACAAGGCAATGGGCTAGGCCAGAGGTGATGGCCCTAAACAGACCTGAGGCCCAAGCAGGAGCAGCACCGAAGAGGAAGCCATAGCACAAGGAACTGCATGATGGGGATGATACAGGTGGCCAAAGGTGACTCTGGAGGGGTATTTTTTCAAATTCTCCTTTGCCTTTAAATCCCTGCCAGACCCTCCTCTCTGTGCCTTGGTGTAGCCACCTCCAACCTTTTGTGCATCTCTGTGCTTTTAGATTTCCCTGTTTCTGCAAAGTGACAGGGCCTTCCTTTTATCTTGCCCCAGTCCAATGCAGTAGAAGAGAAAGAAAAAACTTAAGAGAGAAGGGCTATGGAAAGAGAATTGTGAGGAAGGAAGCTGATGTAACAATAACTCATGTTTTCTTTCTTTTTTTCTAGAAGTTTCTGTGTGCCAAGTTTTGTTCCAAGGACTTTAACCCTACCCAGTTAATCCCAAGAGCAGCCCCACAGGAAGGAACATAACTGATAGTCAGAAACACAGACACGACTGCCAGATCCTCTGGTTTATAATCCCAGCTTCACACCCACTGACCACGTTATTTTGGGCAAGTTACTGTATATCTCTTTGCCTCAGTTCCCTTACCTGTATAATGAGGATGATGATAGTTCCCATTCCACAGGGCTGCTAAGGAATAAATGAGTTAAAATATACAACACTTAGAACAGAGCTTGGCACAAGGTGAGTGGTCACTCATTTTTTTACAACCGAGAGAACAGAGGTTCAGAAAGAAGTTTCTTTCCCAAGCTCACCCAGGTAGCTGGGTAATTGATCCAGTGTTGGACCTCGGCTAGCTATACATTTAGCCACTCTAGTCTGCCTCTCCATGGACCAGATGTGAGGAGAGAGCAGGCAGAGGCTAAGGTGAGTAATGAAGTTCTAGACTGGATATGGGGTCTGCAGCCCTCTTAAATGCCCCCTCCAATGGCCACTGATGCCTGGGCCTGTGGGAGGTGGCTCTGGCATTAAAGACACCTGGATTCAGCCCATGCTATAGACTAAATGTTTGTGTCCTCCAAAAATCATATGTTGAAACCTAATCCCCAGTGTGATAGTATTAGGAGGTGGTGTCTTTTGGGATGTGATTAGGTTATGAGGGCAGAGCCCTCGTGAATGGGATTAGTGCCATTATAAGAGAGGCTCAAGAGAACTCACTTGCCCTTTCCATGTGAGGACACAGAAAAAAGACTGCTGTCTGTGAACGAGGAAGCAGGTGCTCACCAGACACCAAATCTGCCAGTACTGTGATCTTAAACTTACCACCTTCCAGAATTGTGAGAAATAAATGTCTGTTGTTTATAAGCCACCCAATCTATGGTATTGTAATACAAGACCAAACAGACTAAGACAGTTTTAGGAGCTGGGTTTAAAAAAAAAAAAACAACTTTATTGGGGAACAGTGTGTGTGTGTGTGTGTGTGTGTGTGTGTGTGCGCGCGCGCGTGCGTGTGTGCATGCGTGTGTGCATGCATGTGTGTGTGTGTGTGTGTGTGTGTGTGTGGTGTGTTTTTCCCCAGGACCCACCAGCTCCAAGTCAAGTTGTTGTCCTTCAATCTTAGTTGTGGAGGGCGCAGCTCAGCTCCAAGCCCAGTCCCATTTTCTTTTCTTTTTTTTTTCTTTCTTTCTTTCTTTTTTTGTTTAAGAAATTTTATTGGGGAACTGTGTTTTTCCAGGACCCATCGGCTCCAAGTCAAGTAGTTGTCTTCAATCTAGTTCTGGAGGGCGCAGCTCCGTGGCCCCCATGTGGGGATAGAACTGGCAACCTTGGTGTTATGAGTCTGCACTCTAACCACCTGAGCTAACCGGCCTCCCCTCCAGTCCCATTTTTAATCTAGTTGCAGGGAGCACAGCCCACCATCCTATGTGGGAGTCAAACCAGTAACCTTGTTGTTAAGGGCATGCTCTCTAACCAACTGAGCCATCCTGCTGACCACGGGCAGTTCAACGAATGAACCAGGTGGAGGCTAAAGATCTCTAATGGGGGAGGCCAGGAGGGAATGGCCGTGAGGAACTGACTGGTGCCTGAAGATGCTCTCAGTGTCCATGAGGGGGCAGCAGATTCTAGGCTTTTTCGTAGGTTAAGGTTTAAGTGGGGTGGCCTGTGGAAGAGACCCTTCAGAACAAAATAAATCCTGAGCTACATGGTGGGCATAGAAATAAAGCATCTTAAAAATGTTAAAAATGGCAGCGATGATGGAAACCTTAAAAACAACTTAGTACTTAGTCAGCAGAAGGCAAGACTGAGTCTAAGTGGTCAAAAAAGATTTTCCCAAATTTAACCCAGGGAGTTAATGAGAAAGCTGGAAATAGAACCCAAGACTCCATCACTTCAAATCTATGGAAAGGCACCTGAGCCCATTTCCAGGGGGAACCTGGATCTCTCTCAGTAGGAAGTGAATCCCTGTAACATGTGAGTGAGTGATTATGTGTGGGTTCTGCCTC